AAATGGCCATTAACAGATGGAATGTATATAGCTGAAAAAATTTGGACAAAGATCTATTTTAAGTGAGTGACTTAGCAAGAGTTGAAAAATATTGAACTCATCATTATAATTAATCTGTCTAATCTTTTATTTTGAGTAGTATTTTGCTAATGCTAGAGGGAGTGTTGTAATGTACTGTATTCTCAGACCTAGTAGATATTTTCTTCCATGAGTCCAAGGAGATGTATTTGAAAAGATAGCATGCAGTGCCTTAATCAAAATACTTCCTGTAAAAATTATATTCATTTGAAAATAAATGGCTAAAATATCTTCCTGTGTAGCATACCCAAAAAAGGAGAACACTAACTCTATCCCATCCTGGAAAGCATTGATAAATGCCATTTTGCGTCTATAATTTAATGATGCTAGTATTATCTCCTCTAACAGAACAAAAGCCATAGTATTTTCCAGATTTCTCCCTGCAAAGACAGGAAGCAGGGGAGATTCATGGCCCCCATCCCATCATCTCACCGTTTGAAAATTGGACTATGTTTGCACCCTAGCTGTTGCTAAGCAACACCCCTAACTGGTTGGAGGCATTGCTGTAGAACCCCCAAACCGGGGCCGCTCCCCCTATGCACAGAAAGCCAATCACTGACAGTGGGGTGGTGGAAGAAAGTAGGTATTTATTACAAAGTGCAGAGCAGGGAGCCAGGCAGCTAGTGCTTAAATCCAGGGCGCCATGAGGAGTTGGGGTGAAGGTTCTTAGACTTTGATACTGGGGCTGAGAGGTGAAGGATCAGCTTATGTCTGAGTTCCTGGTAGGTCATGAGGTACCTATTGTAGAAGCAAATTTCTCCTTGAGTCTGGTGATTAGAGCCTCGTAAGGCCAGCTGAGCCACTCTCTCAAGTCAATGAATTCCCTTTGATACAGGTCAGGCTAGGACACCTTGGACTAAAGGAGACAGGCAATTGGCTGGGTGCTGCTTTTACATTGTGGGGGTTCAGTTTCAGTGCCCCCTGTTTCTTCTTCCTCACTCCTGAGGGAATAGGGATGACGACCACTCTGACTGCTTCATGCTATTTATGGGGTGACTGGGGGTGTTTCAGGATCAGAGGAGAGGAAGTTGTCAGGAAACTCCCTAGTCTCAGGTTTAGCTGTGGAGATCCTCTGTATCAGGTCAGAGTGTGGTGGAGACAGTCTCTTCATGGCTTTATCTTGCACTTGTGTCACCATTCCGTAGCAGCAATAAAGGCAGCAAGAAACTAGCATTCCTTTACTTCTCATGAAAGCCAGAGAAATTAGTAATTTTTCCCACCAGAAAACTTTTGGTCATGCACCAGGAATAGAGCCATTGATGAAGACTGTGTGGTGGTGTTAGGACTGAGAAGTAACAAGAAATGGGGGTTCTGAAACCAAAGCCCTCTAATGTAAAGAGGACCCAGCCTCTTGTCTGTGTCTCCCTTAGTCCCAAGTCCCTGCCTGTCCCTTATCAGGAGGAACTCACTGCCTTGAGGAAGTGAGCCAGCTGGCCCTGCAAGATTCCAGTCACCAGACTAAAGGAGTCATTTGCTTCTCCAACAGATAATGACCTTGATGGCCAGTGTTGTCCTGGGGTGGTTTGTGTGGAGGAATTCAGGTCCTGGCAGAATGTAACTGCCACCTGCATGTAACCCTCAGACCAGCTGGAGCCCACCTGGCCACCATATATTCCCTGAAGAGCACGGCATCACTGACCAAACCAGGGAAGGTCATGAGCACCACTGGCCAGTCATGAACTTGGTCACGAGCTGATCACGCGTGTCTCAGCCCCAGTCTCCGTGTAGAAGTACCCTCACCCCTAACTCCTCATGGAGTCCTGGATTTAAGCACTAGCAGCCGGCTCCTTGCTCTGTGCTTTGCAGTAAATACCTACTGTCTTCAGCGATTGGCTTTCTGCGTGTTGGGCGAGCTGACACAGTTTGGGGGGTTTTACAGCAATGCCTCCAGCTAGTTTTGGGAATCGTTCAGCAACAAGGTCTGTGCTGCTGCTGCTGCTCCTTCCCTGATCGTCTTGATCTGGGCTGATTGTTGCCAGAAAACCTGGAATTTCCTGCCCAGCAGGTTCAAGGTCTTTTCTTTAGCAATAACTTACAGAGTTTTAAGTTGGCTTTTACAAAGCAAATGAAATGTCAGTTGAGGAAGAGTTGATCCACACTATGCAAATAAACTATATCAGATAGATAAGTCAATATCCTCCTACAACTCACTGAGCTCGCATCAGGCGTGTGTCCTTATAGTGGAACCAAACAAGTCTTTGTCAAGGGCGCCCTTGACCTCCGTGTTGCTAATTCCAGTGACACTTTTCAGCTGTTCTTCTTAAATTAGCAACAGCAGTTGATGTGATTTTTCCTTGTTAGACACTTCTTAATTTTTTTCTTCTTAAAAATGTTTTTATTTATCTATCTTGTGTTAAGAAAGGCAGAGGGAAAGATATTTTCCATCTGCTTGTTCACACCCTGAATGCCTGCAGCCGAAGCCAGCGCTCAGAACTCAGTCTGAGTCTTAAACGTGGGTGGCAGAGACCCAAGCATATGGCCCATGACCTGCTGCCTCCGAGTGTGCATTAGCAGGCGTCTGGAATTGGCAGTGGAGCTGGGACGCAAACCCAGACAGTCTGACAGGAAATGTGGACATCCCACACGATGTCTTCTGCACTAAATATGCATTAGCAGGAAGCTGGATTAGAAACAGAGAAGCAGGGACTCAGAATAAGGCATCCTGATGTGGAATGCAATACCCAAGCAGAGCTTTTTTTTTTAAAGAATTATTTTATTTATTTGGAAGAGTTACAGAGAGAAGTAGTGCCAGAGAGAGAGATTCCATGGGTTCACTCCCCAGATGACTGTAATGGCCAAAGCTGAGCTGATTCCGAAGCCAAGAGCCAGGAGCCAGGAGCCAGGAGCCAGGAGCTTCTTCCAGGTCTTCCTTATGGGTGCAGGGACCCAAGGACTTGAGCCATCTTCCACTGCTTTCCCAGGCCATAGCAGAGAGCTGGATTGGAAGAGGAGCAGCCGGGACTCGAACCGGTGTCCATATGGGACACAGTGCAGGCCCCAAAGCAGCGCTGTCTTAACCACTGTACTGAAGCTGCCCCTCGCTCTCTGGTTTCCTGCAGGGGTTGTTCCCATGCCTGCTTCCAGTCCTTCCCTGATCACCCCATGGAAATTGCCGCTCTCTTCCAAGAGCGTGTCATGGTCCTCTGGTGCTTCTACCCTGGTCTTCCTCCCACAGCCCAGGCCACAGTATGCATTTCACCCCTAAAGCTTTGTGTATCATCTGTTTCCCTCTCAGGGCACAGTCTAGGGCTCCCACTTGTGAGGCAGGATCTCTGTTACTGCTGCCTTCCAGGGTCTGCCCAAGTGAGAAGCTGGGGTCAGGAGTTGAAGCCAGGAATCAGTCTCAGGTACTCCAGGGTGGGGTTTGGTCATCTGAACTGTTAGGCCAAGTAACCTCTCCTGGAATTCTTTGCTTTCTGCTGTCAGAGGTGTGGACCTTACACTTTAAAATACCGTGTCTTGGTTGGCACCGCAGCTCACTAGGCTAATCCTCCACCTGCAACTGTGGCACCCCGGGTTCTAGTCCCGGTTGGGGCACCGGATTCTGTCCCATTTGCTCCTCTTCCAGTCCACCTCTCTGCTGTGGCCCGGGAGGGCAGTGGAGGATGGCCCAAGGGCACTGCACCCACATGGGAAACCAGGAGAAGCGCCTGGCTCCTGGCTTCGGATCAGCGCGGTGCACCGGCCACAGTGGCCATTGTGGGGTGAACCAACGGAGAAAGGAAGACCTTTCTCTCTGTCTTTCTCTCTCACTGTCCACTCTGCCTGTTAAAAAAAAAATACCGTGTCTCCATCAGAAATATTTCTGTAGCTTTTTAGACATTAGGAATCAAGGAAATTAAATCCTCTCTGTGTGCTGTGTGGAGTGCCTCCCTCAGCTACTAGGGAACAGAGACTACGGGAACTTTTTCTAGTTTAATCATCCCATGCCTGTGTGAGGCCCTTTCAGTGTGTTCTCATGGGTTTATTCTGTTTATTCTTTTGACTGTTGCTACTTCCTGGCACTATAAATATCAGTTCAGGAAACCGCCATGGACACTAGACGTCGTCTGTGCAGTCCAGCTCAGCATTTGCAGAAAGAAAGTCACACTTGTTGGCTGGTTCAACACAAAGACACTTGCCCCCTGCTTCCTCTTAATCTAATCCGGGCAGATCCACCTGAAGGGTCCATTTGCTTGGAAACACAGGATGTGCTCTCGGAAAATGCGCTTGTGTGTTTGTTGATGCTGCCTTTTCTGCTTATGCTTTAAGGCTCATCTCAAGAGAGAACGTTCCTGATCAGCTGGGCAGAAATGCCGTCTTGCGCCCATGTGGGGCTCCTGGTGCGCTTGGGGCTACTCCACGGCGCTTGCACAGTGCTTTAGGGACTGCTGTCTGGGCCTTTGTGCTGGCGCCCTCTGTGCACCCCAGGTTACGAATGCCGAGTCCTGTGACTTCTGATTCCTGGTTTCTGTCCCCCGATCGTTAGCATAGCGCATGCCCTGAACTTTGGTTGGGTGAGTGGCTGATTGTATGAATGAGTGAAATTGCAGTCATAGAGGGAAATAGTCATTTGAGTTCATACCTAGTTAAATACCTGTAAAAATAACCCTGTGTTTTCATTTGGATTCTTCTATTTTCCCTAGCAAATACCCTCTCCTGTGTGCATGCCCAGTTCGAGACAGAAAAGTACATTGTTATATGTGAATGCACTTCAGGGGATCTTTTTGCTTTGCTTTTTTGAATTTCCAGGGAATGGGCTAGTGTGTGCCTCACAAACTTCTTAGCATCTTTCTTTCCTCATGCATTTTTTTTTTTTTTTTTTGGCCTGGCCCCAGTCTTCATTCACATTCCTCCCAAAGGGTCTGCTGTACACAATGATTTTGTGAGCCGTTGGTTGTGTGTTCTCTGCAGTGAAAACCCGCCTTGTTTTCTGTTGCTAGGCAACCCCATTCCAGCTGCCATTGAAGAAATGCGCGGTGGTGGGCAATGGTGGGATTCTCAAGAAGAGTGGCTGTGGCCGTCAAATAGATGAAGCAGATTTTGTCATGCGGTAAGAGGGAGCACCCGCCGCGCGGCCTCCGCCTCCTCCCCCTCCCTCCCCTTCCCACGAGCCCGGGGACCTTGCAGAACCAGCCACTATGATGAACGCACTGCAGTAGATCTTGCTCTCCCCTTCCAGCTCACAGGAGCCTGAGTGAGGGCCGGGGTCAGGGCCAGCCTGCCCCGAGAAAGTTCAGAGGCAAGGGTGGGGCTAAAGAGGGCAGCGAGACTGTGCTGCGAGTGAAGGCATTGGGGAAGTGTGGAAACGCTCGGGTCTTATTTTAGATCCCAGCCGAGCCGGGTGCTTAAAACTTCTCGCAGCGCTCCTTTGTGGCAGCTAGCTCTGCGTGAATACACGTGCTAATTCACTCGTTTTATTCCACTTGCCATGCTTCTTAGTTTGCACAAAGGCCTTGGTAAGTAGCAAGTGGGCTCTGAAGGAGGATTTGATCTGTGCATGACCAGACAGCTGGAGGACAGGAGAGGAGGTGACTTGCCAATGAGGGAGCATGGTGAAGGGCCTGAGCCGGTGGTGATGGGGACCCCAGCTCCAGGGAAAACCGGGGACTCCTGCAGGGTGTGGAAGGGATCACTAGGATGCATCCAGCCCCCGGTGAACGCCCTCGGACCGTGGTGATGCCAGCCTGCCCCGGGGGTGGTGTGGATGGGACATGCTTAGCAGGTGGCCAAGCCAAGAGGGCGAGCGATTGGCAGAGTGCAGGTTTGAGAGGATCTGGGAGTGGGGGAGGACAGGGTGTGAGAATGCGGAGGGTTCTGGTGGGGTAGGAAGTGGGCTCTGAGACATTGGGGGAGAGAAGGGAAGGAGGCCAAACAGCGTGGTCCTTCATAGCCAAGAGGGCCCGGGGGCCACGGCGGGGAGAAGTGGACTCAGAAGCGCTGAAGTTGAGGATGCCCCACCGAGGTCCACCATGTCAGAGCTATGTTGTTTCTGGGGGATGATCAGACTTAGTGTCGAGACAGGACTCGGTATTATTGGGAAAGGGAAGGAGTGGCGAGGCTCCACAGTGCCGCTGAAGTAGAGAAGACCAAAAGGCTCTGTGGCTGGGACGGCTGAGGATGGCAGGGACATGAGGGCAGAAAACTGAGCGAAGGGGTGGAGGGAGATTGTATGTTCATTCTTAAGGATAAATCACGACCTAAGAATAACAGAGGGTAGCTAAGAGCACATTAGGCCGCCTCTAAGTGGGGTGGGGGGAGGAAAGCCCAGGTGAGAAGGTTCAGGGGAGCCTTGTCCTTAGGCTGCTTGGGGAAGCCTGCAGAAGAGCAGGGAGAAGGAATGGCCTTTTCTTCATCCAGGAGCCCTGGCATAGTTTGTCCAGGTCGTACCGTGTGTTCCTCTCCATTGCTTGTCTTTCCCCGGGATACATACACAACAGGAACATAAAAACATAGTTGTCGGGGTTTGCGTTTGCACAGCCTCTGAGCACTTCCTCTGCATCCGGCCTCCCCTGGGTCCGGAAGAGGTGTGCTGAGTCATTCTCCCGCGCAGGTGCATCATGGAGAGGGGCTCACTGTGACCAGGACTGAGAAACAGAGCGGGGCAGGCAGCAGCTTCTGTGGAACGAGGTGTTGAGTGGAGTCACCTCCTCGTCGTCCCAAGTGCTGTGCAGCGCTGGGGGATGGGGTAGGAGAACCAGGCCAGTCCCTGGAGAGCGTGAAGGGATAAGGAGAACAGTGGTCCTGAGCCAACTTGAGGCGTTCCCTGCACTGCAGTGTCTGGCAGGAGGCCAAGGGCCAGCAAGGAGCCTTGCCGTTGGCTGGGTCTGTGGCCCACAGCACTCGTTTTACCTTCCCTGTCTAATCTGTGTGAGAAGTGAGCGACCACAGTTCCTCAAGGCTTTCCGCTGTGCGACTGCGGATTTGCATCATTCCAAGAGCTACTGTTGTGCCGTTTCAGTTTTCAAATCACACTTCAGTGTCAGTTAATTTGCCTTTTTTTACAAACTCTGTAAGGGTGGAGCAACAGACAAGCTCATTCCCACAGATTCAGGAACTTAGGTATTCCAGGTGGTCCTAATACAGTGCAGAGGGAGGCAGTCTGATTTCTTTGTGTGCACCAGGCAAGGTGCGTGTAGCAGACCAAGCTGGGGCACTGTAGGAGTTATTTAGGGTGGCGGGGTTCATCACAGATCAACTAGGCTAAGTTAGCTTTGTGCACGGTCTGCTGTGGCTAAATTCTAGTTCAGAATTAGTGCCTGAGATTGGAGCGTCTGATGCAATATTAAGCGTTATGTGCACAGAGCGATGAGGAAGCTGAGGAGTGAAAAGAATTTGGAGGAGATAGCGTAGAGCTATGTGTGCATGTGCTTTTGATTTAAGTTCAAGAATAGAACCATTTTCTTTATTTTTAAAGCTTTTTTGTTTATTATTTGAGAGAGAGAAGGAAAGAGAAATATCTCATTTGCTTGCACGCTCCCCAAATGCCTGCAGTAGCCCCCAACCTGGACTGAAGCTCGGAGCTAGGAACTCAGTCCAGGCCTCCCACGTGAGTTGGGGGAGTTCAGGGACTTGAGCCCTCACCACTTCCTCCCGAGGTCTGCATTAGCAGGAAGGTAGAATCAAGAGTTGAGCCGGCGCCGTGGCTCAATAGGCTAATCCTCCACCTTGCGGCGCCGGCACACCGGGTTCTAGTCCCGGTTGGGGCGCCGGATTCTGTCCCGGTTGCCCCTCTTCCAGGCCAGCTCTCTGCTATGGCCAGGGAGTGCAGTGGAGGATGGCCCAGGTGCTTGGGCCCTGCACCCCATGGGAGACCAGGAAAAGCACCTGGCTCCTGGCTCCTGCCATCGGATCAGCGCGGTGCGCCGGCTGCAGCGGCGGCCATTGGAGGGTGAACCAGCGGCAAAGGAAGACCTTTCTCTCTCTGTCTCTCTCTCTCACTGTCCACTCTGCCTGTCAAAAAAAAAAAAAAAAAAAGAATCAAGAGTTGGAGCTGGGCATCGAACCCAGGTACTCTGTTATGTCACCTTGGCATCCTAAGAGGCATCTATTACTGGGCTAAATGCTGGTCCCAAGAATTGTGCAAGTTTTATAACACGTTTGAATTTTTTTAACTTTTATTCAATAAATATAAATTTCCAAAGTACAGCTTTTAGATTACAGTGGGTTTTCGCCTCCATAACTTCCCTCCCACCCACAACCCTCCCCTCTCCCGCTCCCTCTCCCATTCCATTCGCATCAAGACTCATTTTCAATTATCTTTATATACAGAAGATCAATTTAGTGTATATTAAGTAAAGATTTCAACAGTTTGTACCCACACAGAAACACAAAGTGTAAAGTACTGTGTGAGTACTAGTTATAACATTAATTTACATTGTACAACACATTAAGGACAGAGATCCTACATGGGGAGTAAGTGCACAGCGACTCCTGTTGTTGACTTAACAAATTGACACTCTTGTTTAAGGCATCAGCAATCTCCCCAGGCTCTAGTCATGGGTTGCCAAGGCTATGGAAGCCTTTTGAATTCACCAACTCTGATCTTATTTAAACAAGGTCATAGTCAAAGTGGAAGTTCTCTCCTCCCTTCAGAGAAAGGTACCTCCTTCTTTGATGGCCTGTTCTTTCCACTGGGATCTCACTCGCAGAGATCTTTCATTTAGGGTCCCCCCCCCAGCCCCAGAGTGTCTTGGGTTTCCATGCCTAAAATACTCTCATAGTCTCTTCAGCCAGATCTGAATGCCTTAAGGGCTCAATTGGACTTGCCCCAAACAGTAGAGTTAGAAACTTGCCAGGGTATTCCAGTTCAATCCCATCAAGGTGGCATGTGCCAGTGCCATCTCACTAGTCCAAGTGATCAGTTTCAGTTCACAATTGATAATAATGATAGGATTAAGATTCAAAGGGATCACATAAACAAGACTAGTGTCTGCTAATACTAACTGATAGAAAAAAAAAAGGGAGAGAACGATCCAACATGGAAAGCGGGATACATAGCAGACTCATAGAAGGGCAGATGTCCTAAACACGTTTGAATTTTTAAAACCTTTATTTATGGTTTACAACATGGGAGTAATAAATGTTGATAAGTTATTTTTTAAAATTGGATTTGACCACTTATGGATCTATTTGGAAGTGATTGCTTAATACGTCTTTGTTTTGGGGAAGCCTTAGAAAGTTGAGGTAATATATATTCAAAATTAAACAGGTGTGCACTGGAAAGCATGTGGTTTTAGACTCAGGACAGATGGAAAACCAGCCCTCTCTGCTCACTGTTCCACCGGCTTCCGGTTCTGAATGTGTCCTAGGACCAGGAGAGACTGACCGTTTCTTTGCTGCGATGTTTTCTAACGCATCTTCTAAAATACTCAATATCAATTTCCCATTTTCAAAGTAAACATTTGCTCTGTAACCAGAAGCAACACTTGAAAAGATAATGCTGTTGAATTCAGTTTCTCCGAAGGCCTACAAGACAGAAGTAAACACAAGTACATGGTAGAAAGGGACTGGGAGTTCCAGGGACAAAGTGAAAGCAACAGAATTTTGGTGCCTTTTGAATTGTGCTCAAACACAGGTTTTGCAGCCTTAAAGACACTCAGGATTTTCAAAGTAATTTTATAATTTTTCTATTTCAAGATTCCTCTCCACCATGCCCATTCCCCACCCACCTCCCCTCGCTAATTCAGACTGTTCTTTGAATCATTGCTCACCAGTCCTGCGATCAGATCTCTCCCAGGGCTTGTGAGCACTCTTACCAAGACACTTCAGCCGTTAATATCTGTTAATTATGCCAACGAGCGATAATGGAAAGTCTGAAACACTTTTATGCAATTACGCCTTATTAGAGACAGTTTGGCTGTATTCAGCGTGCCTTCTATGTGAATCTACGTAATTATCAATTTCGGAGTTGAGGAGCTACAATTGTGGTGTGTGAGGTGCAGGGAGGTGTCAGTTACTTGCACTTGGACAGAAATACCCACCCAGAGGAGCGGCAGGTTGACGTTTTCCATCAAGCTGTGTTGTCATTGTTTTCCAGAAATGCGTTCACAAAATGCTGTCTTTGTTGTGTGTAGCATTTCCCTGGTTCACAGGATGTGATCAGTATACGCAAGTCTTTCTTGAGCTTTTGCCCTCTGGTAGGAGGTTTGCAAGGGCCTTGGGCCCACGAGGCCTGACACTCACAGAAAAACAAACAGTTATTCGTGAAAATCAGCTAGTTCCACTTAATGACAGGACCAGTGAGGAGAGCACATTCAGAGTCCCCAGTTTGAATATAACGTGGCTGATTCTCAGATGTTAGTGAGGACGGTCAAGATCAGAGCTCTCTGGGCCACCGTGGGTTAAGTTGCCGCTTGCCATGCCAGCATCCCATGGGGCGTCCTGGCTGCTCCACTGGCTCCCTGCAAATGCACTTGAGAAAGCAGCAGGGGATGGCCCAAGAGGTTGGGCTGCAGCACCTGTGTGGGCAACCTGGATGAAGTTCCTGGCTTGTGGCTTCAGCCTCGCCCAGCCGCAGTCATCTGTGGAGTGAACCAGCAGATGGAAGATCTCTGTCTCTCCTTGTGTGTGTCTCTAACTTTCTGATAAATAAGCAAATACTTAAAAAAAAAAAAAAAACTCGGAAAAAATACTTTGAGGGGCATAAATCCATTCTGGCTACTGCCTGCTTCCTTTCCTAGAGGCCACATTTCAGCCTGCTTTATCTTGACAGTCACCTTTGCAAGGATGGGTTCAGTCACAAGACCGGCATCAGCACGTAGCCCGATGAGCCCTGGTGTTGATGCAGAGGCTCACTCCCTCGTGAGAATGTGCAGGAGACCACATGGCATGTGGTGAATAGCAGACGTCTCAAGGGTGGCTCTGTGATGGGCTCTCCCACGCAAGCCACAATGCTCACCATGTTTGTTCTCAGGGCACGTTAGCAAAAGTCACCAGCTGTCTGGCTAGCTGACCTGTGGCGCGCTGCCAGAGGAACCGGAATCTCATTACTAAAGGACAGATGAAAGGCAGAATTGAAATCAGCCAAGAGCAGTTTCCGCGTCCGATGGCCTGCTGTGGTGGGAGTCACAGGGCAGATACAGGGTGCAGTGAGGGAGCTGGAGCCCATCAGCTGAGCCGATGCACAGACAACTCCGTGCCCTGCGGGAGGTTTGTGGGGGAAACTTCAGTCGCTGGGGAGTGAGCGGAGACTTTACTATTTGTAAGGGATCTTTGCCTTCAAATAAGCAATGCTTTGGCTTCCTGAAGTAATAAAACCTTAGAGAGGCCCTGATATGGTAGGAGTCAAGACACAGAGAGAGATGGGACGTTTCAGACAGTTCGTGGGAGATAGGAATTGAAAGGTAAATTTAGGTACATTATTTGGTATAGAGGGTCAGACATCGCTTGGAACTCCCACGTCCCATGTGAGAGCGGCCTGGATTGGAGTCCCAGCTCCTCTCCCGATTCTAGCTTCCTCCTGATGTGCACCCTGGGAGGCAGCAGGTGATGGCTCAAGTCATTGAGTCACTGCCATCCACATGGGAGCCATAGCTTGAACTGCCAGCGCCTGGCTTTCACCTGACACAGCCCTGGCTGTGATGGGCATTCCGGTGTGGACCAGCAGGAGGGTGATCTGTCTGTCTGGTTTTCAGATAAAATAGTAATAATGAAGTATGTTTATTTGGGTGCAAAACAATTTTGAAGTCTATACATATTCTTTTCATAATTTGCATTTTCTGTGAACTTTTTGAAGCCCCTCTCTCCATAGGTGGAAGGGGGAATTAAATCACAGTAATAAGGAAAACCTAGTGGGAACTGCAGGCTTGTTTAAGGTTTTCATAAATAATAAATGTATATTTAATTATATTTCTATGAATATCTGCTTTGTGTTATTTTTGAGCTTGTACTATGTGTGAAGCATAAACTGGGATTTTTTTTTAAATATAGGACTTCTTTTAGTCTTACAACAACCCTGTGGGAAAAAAAGTCGTTTCTTCCTTTTATGTATTGGGGAAACCAAGGCCAGGCAAGTGAATCAACTTGTATAATGTCCCGCAGACTGAAAGCGGTGGGCTTTGGATTAACACTGACCTGACCATAGTTCCCATTGTAAACATTTGTGGCTAAGGAAAACAGCTGGGTCAGGGAGGTGTTTGGAGAGGGGAGTGGGGCGGCCTTTACAGCACCAGGAAACATCACGTGTGCTCTTTCCCTTGGCTGACCTGCGGTGGCAGAGTCATCACCCTTCTCTGGATGCCACATATGTCTTTATCACCAGTCACCCAAAGCATTGGTCTTGTGCATAAAAGTGAGATCGCAGTTGCTTTAGGCACATAGTACGTTGCCCTAATGTACTGTTGTGATTCAGCTTTGGGGAAAAGAAAGAAAAACATCAGCAAGTATAATTCCTTCCTGTCCCTTGAGGGTGGTAGGTTTCTGGAAGACACTGTGGGTCCTGTGTCCTCTGGGATGCCACACCATCCTGAGCCCTAGGTTCCAGTCTAAGACTGGTTGTTGACCACCTCAAAAACATTGAGGGTGGAATAAATCAGGCGCTCTTACTGTCTCTTTCCTTTCATAGATCATTTACTTCTCTAGACGACATCCTCTTGCTTCTAAAACTGAACCAGTCTTTGAAGATGCGGATGGTTCATTAGTCATCTAGTGTCTAGTAAAAGGGGGAGGTGGCCAAAACAGTTATTTGTGAACTGAGCTAGAATTAGTAAGGTTCTTAGCTGTGTCATTATGGCTGGCTTGATTGAAGTCTGTGAATCCTTCTAAAGTGTGTCTTCTTCTGTCTCCAGATGCAATCTTCCTCCCTTGTCAAGTGAATATACGAAAGATGTTGGATCGAGAAGTCACTTAGTGACAGCTAACCCCAGCATCATTCGGCAGAGGTGAGAGTTTATGATTTTCTTGTTGTGAAGAAGGCTTCAAGAGGAAGGTTTTTGAAGTATTTAGCATCTCCAGGGCAGTGAGCATAAATTCAGGATTGGGAAAGCCAAGAGGAAAACCATCTGGGCAGGCAGGAAGGATGGAGGAGGGAATTGTAAATAAGCGAGGCAGGACTACGGGAATCCAAACAGTGCTCTGTGCTGCCTCTGGGATTCTGTTTCAGGCTGTTAGAGATAGTAGAAATAGCACGAGGAGCCATTGTTTTGCTCACAGCGGCCGTACAATATCCTGCATACTCATGACCACTGCTTGGTGATTTGTTGGTTTCAGTGCCAGCACATTGACTGGCAACTGTCGCTGAATTAATAAAACAAAAACAAGAAATGCATATGTGTGCATTAAAATAGTAATGCTGTCAGAATGTATAGTAACTTGTGATTGTATTGTGTTTAATCAAACTGATGAGAGCAAATGGAAAATTCTAGCTCTAGTATCAGTTCCGGAAGGCATGGCTGCTGCTCTGGGAGTTTCTGGGGTCATCGGTCTCGTCTCTAGTTGGTGAAGGCCATTCCTCCAAGAGCTGTTTGTTGTGGGCGGTGAGCCCGACTCTGAGGGAAAAGGAGTCACTATTGTGTTCAGTCCCTCCTGTGTGCTGGCAGTAGGCAGGGAAGTAGCCCCAGGTTCTGGGCCAGGCATTGTCTTCTAAGGATGTCCTAACCGAGTGGACAGCCCGCCTGTGGCACCTCACACGATGTGCACTACTTGGTTCAAAATATTTACAAAAATGTCCCATGCCCTCTTTACCCAGGTTTTTTTTTTTTTTTTTTTTTTGACAGGCAGATTGGGGGGGGGGGGAGAGAGAGAGAGAGAGAGAGAGAGAGAAAGAAAGAAAGAAAGAAAGGTCTTCCTTTAGCCGTTGGTTCACCCTCCAATGACTGCCACGGCCGGTGCCCTGCTGCTCGCGCACCGCGCTGATCCGAAGCCAGGAGCCAGGTGCCTCTCCTGGTCTCCCATGCGGGTGCAGGGCCCAAGCACTTGGGCCATCCTCCACTGCACTCCCTGGCCACAGCAGAGAGCTGGCCTGGAAGAGGGGCAACCGGGACAGAATCTGGCGCCCCAACCGGGACTAGAACCCGGGGTGCCGGCGCCGCAAGGTGGAGGATTAGCCTATTGAGCCACGGCGCTGGCCCAGTTTTTGTCAAAGTTGACATCAGCACAGCAGTTCTATTTTGTGAAATAAGAAAAATATTCCATTTACAATAGCATTAAATAACATGACACATTTGACAATTAGAAAAGAAAGCAGGTGCTCTGTGGTAAAATGATGGAATTTTATTGGAAGACATTTCAGACACCCTGATTAAATGTATTGATGTACTGTGTGCGTGACTGAAGGATTCAGCCTTGTAAATGCATTAGGTCTTGTCAAATCAATCTATAGATTGGTTGAAACTCCAACAGAAAGCCTAACAATGCATATTTTGATGTGTGTGTGTGTGTGTGTATGACTTGACAAGTTGATTTTCAAAGTTATGTGAAAATATGGAGAACCAAGAAAAGTGAAGAAATTCTTGAAGAAGAATGGTTTGCAAGGGTTGTTGTATCAAGGCTTACTAGCAATCTGTTATAATGAAGACAGTGTGGCCTTGATGCAAAGATAAACCAGTAGATGAGTGAAACAGAACAGGGGACGTCTGGATAGTTTCACACAGAACAGTGTACGTGAGCTAGAAGGAATGCCGTAATCAGTGAGGAGAGGTCAGAGTATTCAGAACTGATGTTGGGATAACTAGGAGCCTATATGAGAAATATTTAAATTAGACTTTTACATCATAACTTACACTGAAATCATTGTCAGATGGCCAAAACATATCTATTAAAATAAAACAGAAAAACATATAGAAGAAAAGATAGGCTTGGGACCAGTGCTGTGGCATAGTGGGTAAAGCCTCTGTCTTCAGTATCAGTGTCCCATATGGGCGCTGTTTCGTAATTCCAGCTGCTACATTTCTGATCCAGCTCCCTGCAAATGTGCCTGGGAAAACAACAGAAGATGGCCCAAGTGCTTGGGCCTCAGAACCCACATGGGAGACCCAGATGAAACTCTTGGCTTCTGGCTTCTGCCTGGCCCAGCCCTGGCTGGTAACGGCCATTTGGGGAGTGAACCAGTGGACGGAAGATTCTCATTCATTCTCTCTCCTCTCTCCTCTCTCCCTAACTCTGTCTTTCAAATAAATCAGTGAAATCATTAAAAAGAAAAAGAAAAAATAGGCTCTGGGATTCCGAAAAAAAAAAAAAAAAGAGCTACACAGCACATTATAAAGGAAAACAATGATGAGTCTGACTTTATTAAAAGCAGGAACTTTTATTCATAAAAAGAAGACATGATAAGAGAGAGCAAATGCAGCACACTGTAGAAGGCGGCTAGCAGCAGGCTCACATGGAATAGATGAAGAACATCTTAGTATTAAATTCAGGAAGAAATGAAGATCTAGGAGGAGATTCAGTCAAGGAGTTGAACCAGCACTGCCAATGAGTGACAAGTCCAAATTCCAGGATACCTCAAAAAATCCATAGAAAATACATTTTATAAAGAAAACTATGCATGGATTTCAAAACTTGTGCACCAAAATAAATATATCTTTTAATTCCTTTTCCACACAATTTTTGAAATATCATCATAGCCAATAAATGAATGAAATTATGTTCCACCTCATTAGTAATCAGAAAACTGCGAATCAGAATCCTAATGAGATGAATCATTACACATTCATCATATTGGCAGGAGGTAGACCAACTGTTCCTGAGGTTGTGGAGCAACAGAAACTGTCGTCTGTGCTGTTTGGAATGAATGCCGTCACCATCACTTGCAACTCAGTGTGACGCACACTCCCTGTGTCCGCGCAGTTCCATTCCTCCACCTATACCCCGGGGAAAAGCAGAGTTCATCATAAAGGGGAAGTGTATACACTAATCATTTGTAGTAGTGAAACACTGCAAATACGTACGTGTGCATCAGTGCTAGAATGAATAAACCAATGTGGGTATTTCCCACGATGGAATGTTTTACAGAAAGTGTTGGCTGTGCACCAAAAGAAGGATGACTTTTGTAATGTTGAGAAAAAGAAGTAAGTAAACAATCTAGTAGTATTCTAGATAAGATCAAATCAGATGACGGCATGGTGTAGGGAGACACGTATATCCAGGAGAATCAGAGCTTCCCCAGAGGGCATGCCTCGGATGGGGGGAGTGCTGGTGCAGACTTGCGAGAATGGGCACATCCGGTTGCCAGAAATGTTCTCTTTCTTGACCCGACTGAACCTACTGTGGATATACACTCCATCATTACCTGTAAGCTGTAGAGGTAGGAAGCTGCTTCCAAAAGTTCAAGAATTAAAAGATAAAGTTTATTCTGGTACAACTTAAATTTTTTTTTTTTGTTTTTATTTTCACTGTGTTTGAAAGGCAGGGAAACAGAGACAGATAGACGTCTTCTGTCTGCTACTTCACTCCCCAGATACCTACAACAGCTGTGACTGGGCAGAGCTGAAGCCAGGAGCTTAGGGATGCCATCCGGGTCACCCATGTGGGTGGCGGGGACTCACGTACTTGCACTGTCACCGCTGCCTCCAAGGGTGCCTGTTAGCAGGGAGCAGGAATTGGAAGTGGAGCCAGGACTTGAGTGTAAGCACTCTGATAGGGGATGTGTGTCCTAAACCACACCTTAGCTGCAGAGCCGTAACTGCACCCTGGTACAATTTTGTTTTGAAATCCATCTCTATATCTATATACATATATATGTATGTATATATGAGGGAGGTCTTCAAAAGTTTGGAAAATACTGTGAAAAAGCTATGCATGTGTTTCAAAATTTTTGCAACAAATTATCTTTTTAATTTTATTCTTTCACAAACTTTATCAAGTGCCATTGTATGTTAGATGTTTTCTTCTGTATATGTATTTTACAAAAAAAAATCAGAAGAAAGGATCCTAAGTGATAGAGGATGTTAAAACTTGTAATTTTAGATGTTCTCAGTTGAATTCAGTTTGAATTCCAAAGAAGTATACTCTAATAGGTTTTGTATAAAAGGGATCTCTGTCTTGAATATAAGGAGTCATCAAAAGATCTGAATAGAAATGTAGGTAAGATTTATTAGTCTCATTGTCGGTGATGCAGTTCTCTGTTAAAGCTGAAGCACAGTTAATATTTTAACACAAGAATGATCAGTTTTTCCCTTATGGAAAAGATCAAACAGATATCAAGTGCTGAAAACCTTTGACTGGTTAACTACAGCTTCTGCAGTATTCATAACATCTTCATGTGGCTAGCAGTCTATGCAAATGGACTGGATGACAAAGTACCAATATTTTTAATTGGGGATTAAAATATAGATGTTGGTTTGACACTAACATGGCTTACTAAAATGGAAGAAATAAAATTGAATTGGGAAAGGTAGCATGTGTGGCTGTATTAGAAGATTAGATATTAGATATTTTCTTCATATCTAGTAGTCTTTTTCAAAGCTCTGCAAATCCACGGCATGAGGAGTGTCATTTACTCTCATGTGATTAAAAATTAAATTCACTGGGCAAAGATGTGCACTGGAAATGCAAAGTATTAGTAATTTTCATAGCTGTCCTGCACGTCTGGATTCTGATATTCCAAGAGCTATAAGCATTATGAGTTTTCACTACAAAATTCCCTCAGAAAATATCAGCAATAAGAAAAAGTTTGAGAAGAATTATATGCACATTAATATTATATATAAGTAATATATGCATATTAGTATGCATGTAACATATATGAAAAGCAGACATAATTAGGGCAACAAAATTAAAGATAGAGAAGGTAATATTTATTGCTGAATCTAAAATAAATTCTCAGAAAAGGAACTACAGCCTTCATTAGGGTCTTGTTTAATTAAGTGCATTATAATTGTTTTCTTTTCTTTTCTTTGTAAGGCAAAGAGAGACAGAGAGTTCTTATCTACAGGTTCAGGTT